TGTGTGTGTGTGTGTGTGTGTGTGTGTGTGTGTGTGTGTGTGTGTGTGTGTGTGTGTGTGTGTGTGTGTGTGTAATTGTTTGTATACTAATTATTATGGACTTTTTTCTTTCCAGTTTCTTTCCAGTTTCCCTCCAAAATACTGATTTTTATTTTTTAATTTTTCAGTTCAAAGCTTTTTTGCTTGCATTTGTTTCTCATTTCACATTTAAAGTTTTTTTCACTCTTACACCCTTGCTTCAGCTTCCCTTCCTCATGTAGTTAATTTTTTAACTATGCACACAGGTATATAAGTATATGTAAATGTATTCATGCTCCCTATTTTCCACACTATTTGCCTTTAGTCATTATATCTATGTCTGTGTTACTGTTTGTCAGGTCTGGCTGCCATTATGAAGCGACTACTGACCAAATATGACAATCTGTTCGAAGTCTCTTTTCCATACTCCATGGGCTGGCATGGTAAGACAAAAAGTGGCATGGTCGGGGGGGAATTAAAAAGAAACAGTCATATTTTTATGATCGTTTAAGAGAGTGAAAGAAATATGAGAGACAGATGGCAGAAAACTTTCAAGATACTTTTAGTTTAAATAAATAGATGGATGTATCACATGTAGACTACTACAAAATATTGTAATATATCCATATAATAATATTTGGAAAATGACACAGATTGTATATCTTTTCTTCTGTGAACTGTCACAGTGGATTTTAAATCAGTCAATCAAGGTGTGCTTGAAGTGCAGACTCTCAGCTTTAAATCAAGGGGTTTACTAAACGTATTGCCTTAACTGTTCAGCAATTATAGCCATTTTTATACAATGCCTCATTTTCAAAATTAACTGAACAAACTAACAATTTTAAATATTAGGAGGTTTTCACTACTTTGCATTCAGTTACTGCCTGACATCTAGAACCCTCGGGCATCTCCAAATGATGCATTTTCTCCTTTGAGATGCTTTGCTAGGCCTTTACTGCAATCACTTGGCTTTTGCTTTGTCCATCTCTCGTTCTTTGGTTTCGCCTTTAGCAACCGAAGTGCATGCTCTATTGGTCGAGATCAGGTGAGTGACTTGGCCGTTGAAGGATGTCCAGTTCCTTTTCCTTGAGAACCTCTTTGTTCGCTTTTGCACTGTGCTTTGGGTCGTTATCAATTTATACTGTAAAGTTCCATCTAATCAATTTTGCATGATTTGACTGAATCTGAGTGATCAGCTAGTGCAGTTATTATAGAATAATCTATAAAAATGTGTGTTTTCAAGTGTTTTCATAGTCAGTATTTAAATGATTTCTCATACCACACCAAATTGGCACCAATGAGAAGTCATATGGAAGGAGGATGATTAAAATTCTGTCACACCTTATGTTTTTGACAGCCCCGCAGATTTTTAATACTGAAAATCCACCCCACTTTGACCTCATATGCATTATATTTTCTGCAACACAAGATTAAAGATGCCACTTCTTGCCTTTTTCCTTACATCCTCTGGTTTTTCTTTGAGCTTTCAATTGCTTTTCTCCACCTCTTGTTATATTTAATTATTTGTGCCACCCTTTCTCCATTAAGTCAACGTTCACCCTTTGACATGCTTTTTAATAATGGCAGATCGGCATAATTAACATGCAGAGGACTTCTCATCCCCAGTCTTCCACCTATCTCCTTGATCGGTCTTTTCTCCCCAACATAATTTTGCAAAGGCACTTCATCATACACAACACAAAATGAACATATGAATATTGATCAGCTCGTCCAATGTCACTGGAAAGATATATGTTCGTTAAGGTGCAACACACGTTTTCTGATGTTTAGATAGCTCTTGCTGCAATTGCATCATCTCTGCCGTAATAAATTGGTTGATAAAGTCTCAGCTTTGACATCAGCCACTTACTGTGTTACCACTTTAGTGTGCACTCAGACACATTGAAATATTTACATTTTTAAAATTTCTACAAAAGATACAACCTTTTTGTCTCTTATGTAAAACAGGAGATCTTAGGCTACGTTCACACTGCAGGTCTTAATGCTCAATTCCGATTTTTTGATCAAATCCATTTTTTTTTGTCTGCTCATTCACACTACAAATAAATTGTGACAGCAAACGCGCTCTAGTGTGAACCCTCAAAGCGGCCCGCATGCGCAAAAGAAGACGTCACACACAACGCGCTCTGTTTAGACCCAGACCAAACAGTATTATTTGACTGTTTCAGACTTTACGTTTCCCAATTTTGCCTTAAGTTATAAAGTTATTTTGTTATTTACATATGGCGTAATAATGATCCTTATTGCTGTTTTAGAGAGGAGCCATGCTTCAAAGGATGCAGATTTCTGTCAGAATCTGCAGATTATACAGTACAAATAAAATGTTCCTCTACACCGGATGGCCAGGAAGCGTTAACGATGTCTTTTCGGGCGCTGATAATTGGTGTCTGTTTTGTGTCAGTGACGTAAAAGACGGATTTAATGCGACATGACTGTTCAAACAGCAGACGCTTTCTAAAACATCAGATATGTATCGGATTCAGGACCACATATGAAAGTGATCCAGATCGGATTTGAAAATGTCGGATTTGTGCTGTTCACACTGTCATACCATAATTGGATATGGGTCGCATAGGGTCAAAAAAGTCAGATTTGATGCGTTTTTCGCCTGCAGTGTGAACGTAGCCTTACAGATAAAGAGGACTCACACACGGTGTAATTTATACTCCTTCAGTCTTAAATTTCTTTTTTTAATAAAGGCATACTGACTGAATGTTATCATATACAACATTTAGTTTTGATTTGAGATTCTACTTAAACATATTTGATTGTTTTCTAATTGCCTTTTTGGCCAGGTAGGGTAGGAATAAGATGTAATCACCTCAGAATCCTAGTTTCCTTGCAATCAGTGTTTCAATATTTACTCTTTTTTAGCTCTGTTTTGGTTCCCTTTGGAGAAATATCAGCATGCTTTACTGTTAACTTTGTCTGTTTACCATTTTATGCAGGGATGAAAGTGTTGAGACGCACCTCTTAATCATGCTTTATTCTGTTTCTTGCCATGGGTGTATAAAGTCATGCTCAGCCTCCCAGACTGTCTTTACAAACAATTATGAAAGAATGGTTTGTTCTTAAGAGGTCACTGAGCACGGTACTGCAATAGGATGCCACCACTGCAGCAAGTCGTTACTGCAGCAAGTCGTTCTGTGTAATTCCATTCCTTATATATATTCATTGATTTGACCAAATTCCACCAAAATAAGGCGTGGCGACCTCCATGTTACCCACCATGTTATTCTCAACCATTTGGTGGCTAAAATTGTACTCATTTAAATTGACTGTTGAATACTTTTTTTTTCTACTTTGAATACAAAAAATCAGACTGAACTGAAATGTTTTATTTTAACTATTTTTTTAACCATTGGTTGCACACAGAGATATTTCACAAATGACCATACTGTTACCGCATTTTTTGATATCCTCCTTGTGAAATCCAAACGACATCGAGTTTCATTCCCTTGCTTGTTTGAAACTCCCACTGTCGCCATATTTTCCCTATAGTACTATATAAAAACACATGCTAGGCAGAAAGTGTTCCAGTTGGGAAGGGGAATTAATGATGCATTCGCAGTGTGTGGGAGAAAACGCCCCCACAGTGAATTACACGCAGACTGGCTTAATTTTATTATTATTAATAGGCAGTTTATACTCAGTGGTTACAATATAGCCTTTTGAACCATCGTACGTGGAAAAACTTGCGATAAATAGAGTATATTTGATATATCGCCCACCCCTACACCAAAATGGACCACCTCCATACACCCCCTGCCACCTGCTCCTGGATCAAAGATTTCCTCAAAAACCAGCCTCAATCAATCCGACTCAACCCCCACCCCTCATCCCCACTGTCACTCAGCACCAGATACCCTGTACACATATGACTGCACACCTACCCACCTAACCAACCTCATCGTCAAGTATGCCAAAGACACCACTGTGGTTGGGCTCATCTCTGACGGAGATAAGACAGCGGAAGTACAGAACTTCAGAAAATAACCCAAAGCTGAACACCCTTAAAAAAAAAAAAAAACTCGTAATGGACAGATAGGTCTACTCTCCTCTCATTATAATTGGAGAATGGGTGAAATCTGTCTCCACCTTCAGGTTTCTGGTCACCCACCAGTGGCTGCACTTCCTCTGTGTCCTGAGGAAGAATAACCTGGACCAGATGCTGCTGTCCTTCTACTGCTCCTCAGTAGAGATCGTGCTCTCCTACTGCCTGGGTGTTTTTACGCAGGGACTACAACTAAGAACAGGAAGGCTGCACAGAGGGTAATTAACACTGCCACCACAAAAATCATTGGCTGCCTTCCGCTACCCCTGGAGACCATTGCTGGATTCTCCTGTCTCATGAAAACCAGGGCCATCACAGGTGACCTCTTGCACCCCGCCCACCAACTGTTTGACCCGCTGCCCTCTGGTTGGTGCCTCAGGTCAATCAGGTCCCACACCTCCAGACTCACAAATAGGTTCTTCCCGTGGGCCATTCGGATTGTCAACAAACACTATCTTCCCACACCCTACCCCTTGCCCACCAGCATTGCCTCATCAATCTGAGCTATGGTCTAAGTAACCTTAACCACTCAGGCCACTCACATGCAGTCTCTTTTCAGACCAAGTCTTTTCTTTGCACTGCCTTCAAGCACTTTGCAACTATTTTGTTCTCCAATGTGTGCCTTTCTCTTATTTTTGTATATATCCCTCTTGATTGTGTATATTTCTCCTGTTTGCTATTTATTCCTACTGTCTACTATTTATATTTTATTCTGGCACAGTTGGTGTGAAGCACCTACAATTTTGTTGTACATGTACAATAACAAATAAAGGACTATTCTATTCTATTCTACTCTATTCTATGCTATGCTATTGTGAAGTGGACATGTTTAGGAACTGCAATAATTTAGTCAAGACCATGTACAGATACAGAGTAGGGTCGCTGAGTGCTGATAGCATTGTGCATAACAGCCACCAATGTTATGGTGTTACAACAATTGCAGAGTTGCAAACCTCCTTTGGCATTGACATTATGGCTAGACCTTCATGACATGGGTTTCCATGGCCAAGCAGCTGGATGAAAGCATTACATTATGGAGTGGTTTAATGCACTCCATCCACCATTGGACCCTTGAGCAATGAAAGTGTTCTCTTTGGATTAATTGTGCATCTAGGGCTGCAGTTTTAATCTTAATCATGATTTTGGCTTCTTACAATTAAATGACAATGATCGAGTGATGTTTAAATTGCCCACTCCACCAACAGAACATGAAGCAAAAGCAAATAAAGTGTCCTCTAAATATTCACTGCCTGAATATTTCCCTGAGTATACCAGCCAGTTTTTTTTTCTGTGCCATGCAGCTTGAAGTTTCCTGCACCAGTCTAGAAAAGTAACAATACATTAAAAAGAAAAAGATGTACAACAAAG